TGAGCTTTATTGAAGGTCTCGATCAGACGAACAACATTGCCCATGGGCCTTTCCCCCGAATCCGGGAACCGACCCGTGTCAATTTTTTTCCAAGTCCGGTCGCCCCTCTGAAAAGAACTTATACTCCGCGAGCGTTGTCTCGTTTTTCGAAATTATCTCGAGAACGGCTGCATATTCGAGGAGAAGTCTCATGGGTCATATTGTTCGTCTCGACGTGACCTTCAATAAAGCTCAGTATGATTCCTTCCCGTAGTGGACCTTCAGCTGTCGCTTGCGGGCGGACGAGGCACACGTCGCGAGCGCAGCCCTCGAGTGTGATGAGTAAGTTGATCCTTGGTCCTAAGTCATCGATTTTTGACAGCTGAAACAAATCTTCGACTCTCAGGTCAGTGAAATGCCCGGCTCGAGCGAAGGTAAAACCGACCGGTGAAGTCATTTGGCGAAATGATAATATTCACTGTCATTTACCCGAGTTCGGCGGTAGAGGCTCGGAGGTCCTGACAGCTCGGGCGACCTGGCTTGAAGCCCTCCGCGAGAGCCCGGCTTTGACGCCGATGCGGACGATTATAGCTCATCGGCGCAGGTACCATCCCATGATCATGAGACCAGTGGCAACCATCATTTACTATACTGCATGCAGGGCTCCGATCTTACCCGACTGAATCCGTAAAATCGCTCTTAGGGTCTCAATGGAGGCGGCTGTCGAAACTGTGCCTGTGCGGCACCTTCGCACAGCACGAGCGGTGGTCGCGTCGGCGAGACCGCCGCCTGTGCGGATTCTGACCGAGCTGCACCAAGTCTTGGCCGACGTAGCTCTCCTCGGCTACACAGCGACAGTGGATGGGCATCGGCTCGTGGGCTTGTATTGCACTGAGTTTGACAGCTTGGTGGTCACCACCAGGCGTCAACTCGATGCTCTCAAGACGGCGAGCGTAATTCACGCTGACGCAACTTACAAAGTTGTGCCGAGGGGCCTTTGCCGGCAATTATTCACTATACACGGGAGTTGGGAGGGCTGGGTGAGTATTAGAGCCACGATTGCCAAGTCTTGAAACTATGGAGAAGCGCCCCGGTGGAAGGGAGCATGATTTCGATCGATTCTTCTTTCTCTTCAAGGTCGGAATGGCAGCCTTTGCCTTCATGAAGTCGGCAACGACCGGAGCATATGCCGAGGTCTTTCGAACTCTGAAGGGAGAGCTGGGGGGGTCCGCGGTCACAGCGTTCATGGGTGACTTTGACGGAGCGATGCGAGCCGCGGTGGCAGCTGAGTTTCCCAACGTCCGAATTCTCGGATGTCTGTTTCATTACGCTCAGAGCGTGGTGAAACGTGCCAGCTCGCCAGCCTGCGGACTCGCTCGCGAAGTCAGGCGCCCTGGACCTGTGACCGCGAGCTTCCTCGCCTTCCTGGTCCTCCCATACCTCCCGGCCGAGCTCATCGATGAGACCTTTGAGCTCTGCGCCGAAGAAGCGCTCGCTGTCACCGTGCGGGTACGTTCACCTTGTCACGTTGTCATAGACAATATGTTGCTCTCCCTCCAGTAGTTATAGATCGCGTGGATCGCGGAGACTCGCGACAGTGTTCGAGAACGGAAGAATCTCGGATTGAGACACTTCAGGCAGCGGCGACTCGTCGTAATAAGCCAAACTTCAGTTTCAGCCGCTTCTAGATTACATACGTAAGCGTAAAGCGCGAAGTTGGCTCAAATCCAAAAATCTGGGATCTTTTGTGTAGGTGATGCTGGCATTACATACATAAGTATTTCGAGTCCCGCGGGGCTTCGGTGCTACCCGCTTCTATGAATACACACTAAACTCGCATTTATATTAGCCTGCTTATGCGGGATCGCGCAGGATGTTTCAACCGATCTCGCCATCTCCCAGAGAGGCATAAGGCACATCAGATGGGTTCCAGATCGTTTGACAAGGGCCCAGGACGAAAAAGTCCGGCTTCTATGGGATATGTTGGACCGCGGAAGCATAACGCCGAAATGTTTCATCGACAAAATCAAATACAGATTGGGGGGCGGTGGGTCGAATTCCGAGATCTAGACATGCCATTGAAGAGCTTATTTCGTCTGTTTCCCGATTAATGAATACGTCCTTTCTCATAGCCTACAGAGATCCCGCGGATCAAGAAACGTTGGAGAACGAAGAATGGGACCGGTGGTTGACCGAAGAAAGCGCGATCTCCAATGAGGAGCAGGACTACGGGGCTCCAGAGGAGTCGAGCGTCGATAGCGACCTCGTTTCCCATCGAGATCCCTCGGGTCACGAGAACTCGATGGAAAACGAAGAGTCGGACCGATTGGCGACCGAAGAAAACACTGTCATCGATGGTCAGGAGTACGCCGCTCGATTAAGGTCGACCGCTGAAAGCGACCATACATACAGTGTTCAGTCTGCGCAGCGAGACAACGGTTATAGCGCGCCATCCCATCGCGAACCGGAGCCTTCCTAATCGTGGTAAGCATTGCGGGTATTGCATTGCATTCTATATATTTCAAGCCCTCGTTCGAGCGAGCGGCTGGGAACGATTGGGAACTTTGTTCTATTTGAGGTGAAAATTAATTGAATCCCTCTTGATTCCGCAGCGAGATACGTGGAAGATATCGTGAAACGAAGCCCTGATGAGATGATCGGTGAGAAGTCCGCGAGGATGCTTCGTCTATCGCCAGCTCAAGCTTTCAGGGGCTGGAGTTCCGGAACACCGCGAATAAAACAAGATTCCGTTTTGAAGAATTTATTCATGGGTCTTTCAGTTCCCCAAGCTCGATCTCTTTTCGCCTTTCTGTAGACAAATGTATCGCGCCCGAATCGGGGAAAACTTCGCGTGCAAATCCGAGTTTCTTTCGCCTGAGAAGCCGGATTCTTTGCTAGTTCTGAGAAGACCAGAAAGTCGAACAGATTTCCCGGAGTTGGTCGTTCGGGAACGCGGGAAGAAGCGCAACATCGGATACTCCAATGGCGCAGCTCTGAAGACTAACACATAATTTCGAGTTTCATTTGAGCTCTCCCGGGGAGCAATTACTCACTTCAGTCAGTCCCATTAATCGCCGAGGCTGTCCGCCATCCATTTTCAAAAGTTCGCGCCTTTCTCAGCAGCCAAGGCGGCGGTGCTCTAGTCAGTCTCTCGCCCGTCGAAAACGTCTGCTAGCTCTCACGAACCCTCGCGGAACCATTCTGCCATGCATCGGCGTCACGCGAGCGCCGTGCCATACGTGAAGTCGCGAGATCGCCGGACATCGACGGTCGCCAGATACTGGCGCTCTGACGTCAAAAACGCGCAACTGTGTGCGGTCGATGGTAGGATTTCACCCGAACCAGCTGTTTTTTCATCTCCGTGCTGTGCGGCACAGTTCTTGCTTGCCGAGGAAGCTACACCATAATCGTGAATGAAGGACTCCGGCGAACAACGGCCGGCCCACTGTTTCGGCACCGAGTCTTGAGTAGACCGCTGGATTTCAGTCGCACAAAACTTCCAACCGTGTCCCGGAACACTGGCCTCAGGCATTTTTGCGCCGCCCGCCCTTTCGCCCCGTGTGAAAAATCATCTTTTTTGCCCAACAGCGGGACCTGAATTTGACTAATCTTGACACGATTGGGCGAATCGTCAGCAGGCAAGCTCCAAGATCCACGAAAAGGTCTCGATGGCCCTCGCCGGCCCCTCGGAAACCGAGGGACTAAAGGCAGCTGTCCGCTGCGTAAACGTGGCATCAGAATGGGATGCTTGTAAAATCCATAGGATCGCACTCAGCCCCAGGGGGGAGTTGTACTTTGATAGCGTTGCTCAAGTATTTCCCGAGTGCCTCTACCTACAAGGAAAAGACAGGTACGGGGTTTTCACCGTCTCACGCTTAGGAAGCTGTCTGGTAGAGCCGGAAACAGGG